AAAAACAATGTATAATATGTGTTGGTGCAATAAATGACAGAGATGCAAATTGCATTTGAATACAATGAGCAAAAAAATGCAAAAATGGCCTTTGTCCTTAAGCGTAAGTCAAGCTCTGTCCTTCAGGGGTTAAAGATTGTTATTTATTTTTGTCACATATACTGTATACAGGGCCGGATTAAGAGCCTTCATCTTTCAAGTAAATGCATACCCTCTAACAGCAGTGTCCGGTGAAGCAGGATGTCGGTGGGCGGGGTAAAAGGGTAGGCCACTGATGTGAATAACGTAACCAAAACCGCCCAAAGGGACAAACATGCCCAAAAAGGGGGCATGTCTGCACAAAGAATTAGATGGTCAGCCTAACATGAATGCACATCAGGCTGCCTGCCAATCATGTAGGATTACTGTAATGGCACCCCCAGGCATAAAAGAGTTAAACTGCCGTTTTGAAGATCTTCCCCTTCCAGAGACACAGGCAGCTACTGTAGACACTAATCCACCAAACCGGAGAAGCATATGAAAGCTGTAAACAGCCGAACCGGAACCATACGAATGATGTAAACAGCTGAATAGGAAAAACCATACGAAAGGTTTACACTCCTAGCAGTCGAACTGGAACAGCATACAATAAATCCCCCCAAGAACGAGACAAAGCTCCGTGTTGAGGGTCAAGCAGGAACAGACAGAGCTGTGGGTTTATTGTTCTTATATACACATTAATACCACCCACAGGGTTTTGGAAAACAACCAATAAACATATACAATACACTCAGACACTCCCACACAAAATCCTCCCCTCTGCCTGTGATACAATTACCTTACACAATGGGTAATGTAATTATCACCGGCAGAGAAATACAGTTTTTCCACATTATTCAAAACTTACATTTTCAGAATACTCCAAATACGAACATATGTCAAAATCATCCACATTGGTCCATTGGTTCAAAAGATAGATCGAAGTCCTTTGTGACCAAAGGAAGCATGGCTTTTCTGCCCAAAACCAGTTCCACAGAGTCTTCTATCCTGGAGATAATTGGGAAGTAATCCAATTATCTCCAAGGACAGAGGTAAAATTCCATTAAGCACATGGCAGTAAAAAGACAGTAAAATACAATAAAATACACAAGGTTACATTTATTACATAAAATACAGATATGCAACATATCCCCAGATAGCTTAGGTCTGAGCGCACATTATTACTGATTGGCTCTCAGACCATACACATACAGTTCAATTGCCATGGAGCCAAAGTCTTTTATTACACGAATAGGCTCCATGGCATAGCTATCTGGGTTAAATGAGTTCGTTCAGTAAATCCAAGAATATACCGAACGCCAGAGCAGAAATACATGAATAGACCTTTCTGCATAGGAAAATAAAGTATTTAAATGCCAGTCCATAGTCAAAAGGCAGCAGGCAGGCAACCAGGCTCCTCCAATGCACAGTGGCGAGATTGGTCTCGTCACAATTACCAACTAAAGGCATACTGTGCAGACAGCCCCCTGAGCTTGGCATAAATGCGTCTAATGATGGGCTAGCTCTATGCTTTCTAAGGACAGTCCCCTAGCACTCGCTGGTCCACTCCTCTCCTAACCTTCTTACTAGCAGGCAGAAGCTCCTGTTATACAGTCTGTGACAGTAAAATGTTTATGCAGTGAGTGTAGAAGAAAGGGAACATTTCACAGTGTTAGAGAGACTGAAGCAGCAAGAGCATTTGCATAGTGCACAAAGTCAGCTTTACCTTAACTAATTTAATTGTCAGCCAGTCTTTTGTTCCCCTACATCCCGCCTACATTTTTTTAAATTTGTTTTAAATCAATGGGCCTATTGCATAAGCATGGACCTGGAGCAATACTTCATAACTCATAAACACCTGCTCCTTACACTTGCATATGATATGCACAGCATTCCCACTAATGTTGGTCAGAATTGGTAGCTCCATCAGCCTCTATGTTAATCTGGCCCTGAATGTATGTGAGAAAAAAATATCTATTTTTGCTTGAATATTAACATTTGAAACCCTGTGTGAAATATTGCAAGATGAAGGCCACTTTATACTCTCCAACGCTTTTTAATTTCGCAAATAATTTTTATAAATGTGAAAATTTACATCCGACATTTTTTTTCAAAGCAATCTATGACCACAATTGTTGTATTGTGCTATGTTTAAATGGTAGCTATGCCTTTAAATAAATGTTAAATGCTAATATTTATTTTGCTTGGTAGTGATGGGGTTAATTAAATGAAATGGCCAGTTTAGGGGAAAACTCATATTCAACATATTACGCTGCACACAGCATGATAAAAAATCCTGGCTTAACTGAAATTTGTAGGAGTTTCACTCCAGGGCAGCATTAATTCAGTTCATTTTTACCTGTTATAAGAATATTAATACCCAGTACTCCACAGGTGTTTACATGAAGTTTATTCAGGAATCAAAAAGTATAGATGATGTTTTGATAACTTGTGGCGTTTTTATGAAGCCATACTATCATACATATGTATCTTGTATGAATTTTGTTGCGAAACCAGCCTCGCCACTGTCCACCGGTAATAATGTGCGCTCAGATTTAAGCTATCTGGGGATAGGTAGAATGTGTATGTTCTATGTGATAAATATAACAGTATGCATTTTTATGTCTTTTATTGTCCTTTGTCTGCCATGTGGTTAATGGAGTTTTGCCTCTGTCCTTGGAGATAATTGGATTACTTCCCAATTATCTCCAGGACAGAGAGGAGGGATTGTGATGCATTGTGGGATTGTAAGCTTGTGATTGGTCAATGTCCAATATGTTTCCCAGTCTTCCATCTGGTCCCCTAGGGGAGTGTCCACCAGGTGGGAGACCTGCATAAAAGCTGGGCAGGTAGCCCCAGTAAATCCGTTCCTGCTTGACCCTCAAAACGAAGTGTTGTCTCGTTAATGGGGGAATTGGATTGTATGCTGATTGCCAGGAGTGTAAGCTTATTGTATGCTTTTCCTGTTTGGCTGTTTCCAGTATTCGTGTGTTTCCTGTTCGGCAGTTGGTGAATTTGTGTAGTTTGCGATTAGGGTGATTGGTGCTTACAGTAGCTGTCGGTGCATCTGGAAAGGGGAATATCGCCGAAACGGTTTTTAACCCCTTATGTGTAAAATGGTCCGTTACAAATTTAAACTAGTCTTACATCACAAATAAATCACAATGCAGTTCACAAGTCACACGTGGATGTGTACTAACCTCATAAAAATAAGTTACAGTAAATATTTCATTTAGCCTGAAAAACAATTGTTACACATCAAATCCAATATTACATAATGACAACATACATTCTCAATTCATCTTCTGATACAATTTGCTTTTGTTTATATTCTATAAAAACAATCAATCACTGTGAAAATTCCATCAAATTAAAGGCAATTAAACTTAAATATAGCAATACTGGGAATCATCATCATATTAATACTGTAAAGTGTATATATACAGAACATCTCTTCTACATATGTTGTTTTAAAAAAAAAAAAATTTATTCTTTATTTTTATTGTGCTTGTTGTGTACAGGCGGCCTGCATTGCCACGACAGCGGGTGCAAGTGTTCCATTATACATAAACATAGAAACATAGAATGTGACGGCAGATAAGAACCATTCGGCCCATCTAGTCTGCCCAATATTTCAAAATACTTTCATTAGTCCCTAGCCTTATCTTATAGTTAGGATAGCCTTATGCCTATCCCACGCATGCTTAAACTCCTTTACTGTGTTAACCTCTACCACTTCAGCTGGAAGGCTATTCCATGCATCCACTACCCTTTCAGTAAAGTAATACTTCCTGATATTATTTTTAAACCTTTGTCCCTCTAATTTAAGACTATATCCTCTTGTTGTGGTAGTTTTTCTTCTTTTAAATATAGTCTCCTCCTTTACTGTGTAGATTCCCTTTATATATTTAAATGTTTCTATCATATCCCCCCTGTCTCGTCTTTCCTCCAAGCTATACATGTTAAGATCCTTTAACCTTTCCTGGTAAGTTTTATCCCAATCCATGAACCAGTTTAGTAGCCCTAAACTTTAGTAGCCCTAAACTGGTTCATGGATTGCGGGATAAAATATAATATTCACATGGCAAATACTTTTCATGCACATTTTGGTATTATTACTAGCAGAATTTAGTTAAGCTGCGTACTAATTAGCAGTGCAATAAAACAGGTTATCTTAAACAGGGCTTAGAGTGGCTCACAGACCAGTTTGTGTGTACTGGAGGTTGTGTGCCATTAGGATAATATGCAAGGCGTTTTTAGGAGCATGCATAACAACAGTATATAGCAAACCTGCCTATTCTCTCATAATTAACCATGTGGAACACATTAGGTCTGAAGGTTTTATCGTAAAAAACTATAGGAAACAGTGGCTAATCAACTCAGATAAACTATGCCAACTGCCCGTCTTTGGAAGATCATCGGTAGAATCCTATGTTGTCACGGGGCAGTAATCGCTATGAACCTCTTGGGATCAGTGAGTGTAGGACATTAACATTTGTGGCTAAAGCACAAGAGGCGAAACACCCCTTTTAACATGTAACTTAGTGCTGAGATCAATGATCGGGGTGGGGGGGGAAGAAAGGGGTACGTATACCCCAGAGCCAGCGGGTGAGGGTTTGGTGAGACATGTCTCCAGGGACAGCTATCTGCCTACACATTGTGCATGCTTATGTACCTAATTATCTGATAAACAGTGCAACACATTAAACAGTAACTTGGATAAAAGCAGTACTGCAAGCATTGCGTGGTAGTGTAGGACAATCAAGTTGTCTCGGTGGTAGCGGTGTTGTTCCGTTGGGTAGCCGGGTCAAAAGGGTGGATAGTGGCCAGGTCCCATGTCTGTGACTTTGGCTTAGGCACCATTGGTTGCGCCCCCGTCTCTGCGGGGGGGGGGGGGCGGGACCAAGTTGTTGAAGAATGGAGCCCATTTCGGATATGTCAGCAACTCTAAGAGTCCCAGTCTCGTCAGGTATCAAAAGGCTTCATGGTGCTCCCCATCTACTATGTTGCATCCGCACTGTGGTAGGTGGTCTCATGGATCTCCACCATGTCATTGTGGCCCTGGAGATGTCCGGGTAGAATAATAAGGAATGTCCCTCAAATTGGTAAGGAGTGGTGATGCGGACCGCTGACAGGAAGGCCTGCTTATCCGGGCTGTGCTGAAAACGCACTATTACATCCCTGCTGGTTTGCTGGGAGTTCGCCTGCGGTTGTGGTAGCCTGTAGCACCCCTCCAGCAACCTGGCTTTGGCTTGTTTTGGCATGAATAATCTGGATAACACTCTTCGGATGAGGTGGTGGATTTCTGCGGTTGTAACGCTCTCAGCTAGGCCCCTTATTTTAACATTGTTCCATCGCCTATGATCTTCCATTGCTGCAACATGGTGCTGGGTTTGGATCAAATCGTTCTTGGTCTTAGTCAGCTCGCTCTCAAGGCTATTAATGCGGACCTCGTGTGCTGCTGTGCTGATTTCTGTGTCATGTAGTCTCACCGACACCCCATGAATTTCCTCTTTAAATTAATTAATGTCTGCAGCGATATGTCGGCGTAGATCATCCAAGAGGGCTTTCAGTCGGTCTTCAGTGACTGGAGGGTTGCTTTGTGCCTTAGGCTTGCCTGCTCTCTGCGTCTCCGCCATCATTTCCAGGTTGGAGAGTGAGTCTTCACTGGATGATCTGGACGGTGCGTCAGAGAGCGGCACCATGACAAGTCTCAGGGATACTTGCTGCCTCCACAAAAGTTCACCGGTATCGGCGGTAGTTGGGTGTTTTTCCGTCCGGTATTTTTTGCTTTTGCGCCTCATTGTCTTAAGAAGTTGGTAGGGCTGGCGTGGTAGGGTAAATTGGGCAGAAACAGCTTGTTTTTCCCTGGCTTAAACTGAGCTCCTGGTAGACACGTCCGTTCTGTGCGGCTGCTGGCTCCGCCTCCCTACATATGTTGTTTTTACATATTTGTCAGTGTTGGTCTTCATGTGTATTAATTTATTAATTATTAATTTATTATTATGTTTTTAAATCTTTCTGATTATTTGTCATTTTTTTATATTTTATGTTCTATCTATCTATCTATCTATCTATCTATCTGTCTGTCTGTCTGTCTATCTACAGATGATTCTGAAAAAAATAGTTTTTTGCACTGTACTTCTTAAAAGGTATTTGATCCCTAATTTTAAGTTTATAATTTCACACCAGCATTAATTGCAGTTGACAACAGACATTTATGAAACTGTGAAGTAATACTTTTTGGAGCTAACAGTGGCATTCCATTCTCTCTGTTGATCTTAATTAACTTAGAAACTCAATTTATTATAGCACATTTCCACTTTTTTTTACTTAATGGACAGTTCAAAAGTGATATTGAGCTATCAAATTCATACACAATTATTTATTATTCTCAAGAAAGTAATTGAAAATGCAAATATGTCTATAATATGATTAGGTTGTGCACAATAAATTGCAAGGCAACAAAACTATTTATTGAAAATGAAATAAATTCGGGGGGGGGTGGGGGTAGGTGGGGTGGGGGGTAATTAACCAGCACATCAGCATTAACTGTAACCTAACCAACACATTGCAACATAAATATATATAGATGCCCAAGTTCACACTAAAATTGACCCATTCTTTTATTTATGTACTGTAAAGATAATTGATTCAAATATACAATGAGGTATACGCTGTAATGCGTTAGTAAATTTTGGAGGCTAACATCTTACATCTTCCACTGCCTAATTGACTTATTCAAAGTAGTTATACTTTAACTTGTGAAGCAGAAAAGTAGTCTTAGCCAGTTCAAGCTCTTGCAATTTGTTTCTTACCTACCGGAACTTTGCAAGTAGAAAGTCTGATAGAGATATTTTATTTGAAATTGTTATTTGAGTGAGGTGCTTGGTAAGAGAAACATACGTTAGAGTTTTCCCATAAAATAACATGTAAAATATTCATGAGAATAAAATTAAAATAATAGAAACTATATACAAATTTCTCACATAACAGACCATTTTGGGGATGGCTGGTGATGTGTGATGAAATTTGTAATGCACTAATGCATTATCAATCAATAACTCTATTTACAGAACTTGGGGGACTGGGGCCCCCATAAGCTGGAAAATCTATATAAATATACAGTCCTATGAATCACAAAGTTATACTAGCATGCATAGTAAAATGTTCGACAGTCATTCTGAAATTAGCCAGACATTTCTATATTATGTTTTTGGTCTTTTTTTTGTTTGTTCTGTTTTGCTTGGCATGTTCATTTAAAAAATATATTTATTTTAAGCATTCTATTTTTTTTGTCTGTGGTATGTCTTGGTATCCCTATTACTTGGATAGTTTAATTTTGGAGGCCATTACCAGTCTGCCTCACACAGGATACTGCAAGAGCCATAACCAACATGCCTCAAACTTAGGGACCCATACCAACACATAGGAGATACCAGTAGATGTACCCTATGAGGACAACATCATAATGGGGGAAAGCAGAACATTAAGAACAGTAAAATATAGTGTGAACCTTAGTCAGGTACTATAATACCACTCTTTGAGATGTGGAGCATGGAATAACATAGATTTCATTAGGCCCAACTTTTTGAAGGGGCTTTACCTAACAATAGCCACTTATTGCCAGTCCTTATAGATGAGTGTTGGAGAATCAACTGTGCGCCTATTAGGTATGTCCTCAGTGGAGATCAGCATTCATCTTTACCATGGTCAAGACTGGCTAGTCAACTCCATTGCATCTGATGATTAATCAGATAGGAAACCCTTACTTATAGGGATTGTAGGCATCCTGGAGGACCTCCACAAAAGATCTAAAAGCCTGCCACTGTTTGAGGAGACAGGTCTGTATTTAACTGATTACCAGCAAAGCATCCAGAGAGGCTGTCTGGAGCGGTTTGCACCAGCCTTTCTTGGTAGTGTAATAATGGACCCTTGCAATAGCATCCCTTGGAAAAGAGGCAGCAAGGTGGTGTGGCTTTGCAAGGGATACACCTTATCCAGCATAAGATCCTGGTCAGTGACATCTGGAAAAAGGGATCAAAAGAGTTGGTGTAAATACTCTACAAATATTATTAAACCAGTAATAAAATTACAATTGAAAACTCTGATACTTAACTTTCTAATGAGGTGGAATATGTGTTGGAGCTTTTTCAGACCTATCCCCTATGGTCTCTTACACAGCAAAATGTACAAACAGGGCAAAATGGAAACATGGCTACAATCTGTACTAAGAATCACAATAGTGTAATACGGTTTATTGACTCAATCCTGTTACAGATCACTTAGGCCCTATCCTCAGCCAGGCTGTTTTTCTGTATGTTTTCCCCAAAAGTCTATTCTCACTGACTCCCATTAACTTTCACTCCAGGCCAATCAACCTGGAGCACCCCTCCTCTGGCTGTAACCATAGTTCAGAAAGCCGAGAGGACTATAGCGGGACTTATCTACAACTCCTCTGAAACTCCAGTCCGACCGCAGCGAACTCCATCTCCCAGTCAGCTTTCCACTCTGTTTTTCCCCACTTACCGAACATCTTTTTGGAGGGAAGGAGCCCCGGACTATGTGGAGTCAGGGGAAGTGCCGCCTATTTTGGTCACAGGAACTCCTGACATTTGACTGGCCAAACAACTATTTCTGGAATTTTTTTTGGCATGGACTCTGTCAGTGGCAAGTCAAAACTTTACCGATTTGTCAATTCTTCTTGGATCCAGGCGCTATTTTGCCAACATAATCATAAATAATGTGTTTTGGTTCCTGTTGATGTTGTTATATTTTTCAGGTGTTTTTGTATTGTGCTCTCTGTATCCGGGAGATAATTAGTTTAGCGAGCAGCAACTCAATTATCTCCCAAAAACAGAGTCACCAGGGTGGGATTACTTGCTATTGAATAGGGAACCCATACTGGGGGTCTATGAATAAATTAATGTAAACATTAAGTCTCAGCTAATGTATAGGGGGAAATCTATACCAGCTATAAACACTACTTTTACTGGAAGTAGCTATAACAATATAGGAAAGAGAAGCCTTATTGGTGATATGGCGGTGATCCGCCACAAATCCCTTTGCAAATAAATTTGCACTCACAAAATGTAGACAGATATGTAGGCCTAAAATTTTCTCTCTCGATGGCTTAGGGGGATAAACTGCTTGCACCTACAAGTGCAGGACTCCTGTATCCACATGTTTTAAAGAAAAGAAAGTGCAAATCTATAAAGAGAAAATGCACTCTCAAGTATAGAAATGGACTTACTCAGGATTCTCACATGAATTATCTACCTAAAATGTATCTAAAACCAAATAACATATTCTGTTAGGTCTGGTAGTTTGACCTCCTTGGGAATGATGTGGAGGCAAATATTGTTCACCTGTTCTGGTTCTCATGGTCCTCCCCTTTAGACTTCAGTTGGTGTAGCTTGAGATCCATTGCTATGTATACCTCAGCCGTGTGTTATGGACATCGATGATCTCCTCTGATTTTTCCTCTTTATGCACAGCGTGCTCTCCAATTGCCTGGATACCTTGTAGTATATAACCAGCTAGCTAGTATATAACCGCTCATTGTGGATTTAAGATCATCCAGCACTGCATGGATAATTAATTCACAGAGGGCCTGGAGTGATAGATGTTCATTCACCGTGTCTGAGGTAGAGGTTAGAGAGTGAGTGGCATCGCCATCATCTTGTGGCAGTTCCCACGGAGAAGAAGGGGCTATAATTTTAAGGATGGCAATTTCTGTTTCACCTTCTTTGTTAATCTATTTGTCACGTTGACTGTGCAGTATGTAGGTCTCTTTTTAGGAACTGTTGATGCAGTCTGCTTTTAAATAACACTATGCTGGGCATGGGTTGAGCTGAAGGATTATGCATCTGGTTCCATTAATATATAAGCACTACCCCCCATAACAAAAACTCACTTTTAATTGTCCTTTAAAGCACCCCACATGCTACATTATCAACTCAGAGCTTCGCTTGCTCTAGGAAGCAGCTCTGGATGGACAAAATTAGGTTAAAATGACCAGATTCCAACTGTATTTGCAATTTACATATTTACTAAGACCCAATTAAGTTGTTCATTTAATCAAGTCATAATCAAATCAAGTCATTAAGTTAATCATTCATACAGTTCACACCAAATAATTAATGATGCTCATCCAGTCAGTCACATGGAAAATGTATACATAGAATTATTTACTGATGCTTCAGCTGCCATTAATGGGAAAGTAAATTAGGTTTTTGAAAAATGGCCTGATACCTGTAAGGAAGCAATTACAACGTGGAACAATACTTGAGTTATTTCCCATTGTGGTATCTTTCAAAAGGAGGAGATATCGCAAAGAGAAAATTAGGGTTGTTGTAATGTAAACTGGAGTGTAGTGTATGCAAGAAATTCATTGCATGCTTCTTCTCCACAGGTTGTTACTTTATTGCAAAGACTAGTTTTGTAATGCATGTCTAATATTTGTCTTAAGGTTTCAAACAGAGAAAAGATAAATAATTTTATTGCTGATGCTATCTCCCATTTTTAGCTTTTACATGTCCGGGAAATGGCTCACACATAGAGGAAAGCCCCTCCAAAATCTGACGGAAGTGGGGGATTTAATATCAACCAGATGAGTAACAAAATAAAGTCTTTGCCTATGAAATAAACTTGATTTGTTCACATTAAGCTTGGTTTTCTTCCACCGGTGTAGGATGGGTTGCTTAGTTAGGTTTATTTAGAGACTGAGAAATAGGGGTCCAATTATTTTGACTTGTTAAAAGGGTATCTTAATGAATTACCATCCATATTTTCTTTTGTAGGT